TATATAGAATCTAAAATCTTCTATGCGCGGTTGCTGAGGTCTGTAATTGTGACCTGTGTGTAATGGGGGATATGTCTGTAATGGGGAAGGGGGAGGAGCCACCAAACCTCAAACTTAAAACCTGCACTCACTATTTTCTTCGAAAATATGCGTAAGTTCCACAAAACTTTAAATGCGTTTACCATTAAACAAAAATATGAGGAAGAACAAAGAATGAAAAACTATGAGTATAAACCAAATATGTCCAACAAGAACGAGAAAGTACCATCAAGTACAAAAGCACGTTTAATCCTTTTTGCTCAATAATAGGAAATGCTTCTCGTCAACTGAAGAAACGCAGATATTGAGAAACTGCAGCTACTTATTGACAACTTATATGGTCCATTTTCAAGCACTATTCTCATGCGAAACATGATTCTCTCCCTCACACAAAAACCAGAGCTGCTTCCTGTTTCTTGTTTTCCATTCCTGCTTGCAAGTCAGCTGAAAGTGTTGGGCCAGAAAACCACATTCATCCTGTTTAAAAGTATCAGAAGACATCACTCTCATTACTGCAATCGGTATAAGTAACCTCCTCTGTTTAGCTCTGACATACAGCTACCTAACCTGAGGCGAGCTGTGAAAACAACTATCCTCTGGTGCTATCGGTAATGCCGCAACACTCACCACGAGCTAGACACACCCAGTACAGGTTCATGACACTCATACCCAGCGAAAAAGTCATGTAGAGCACCAATTGCTGGGTGACTTCCACTATCCTGTCAACATATACACAATGTGGTGTCTTCAAACTCCCACAGCAGTTCTTTGCAGTAGTGATTGAGCAGCTAGCAGTTCTCCTTCGCATTTGGTAGAAATTGATCATCTGAAGGACTCGCGTGTACTGATTGCGAGTCTCAGGCTGCCGCGCAATACTAGTTCAGGACCCAAAGTATTCCACTATGGTAAGACTTCAGGACCCAAGGGTACCCCAATAGTAGGACTTGAGGAACTAAGGGTACCTCCTCTATAGTACGACTTGAGAACCCACGGGTATACTCAATACTAGAACTTGAGGATCTCTCTCTAGTAAGACGTGAGGACCCCAGAGTACCCCCAATAGTAGAACTTAAGGACCTTAGGGTACCCCTCTATAGTAGATCTTGAGGAGCTAAGAATACCCACAACACTAGGATTTGAGAACCTATGAGTGTCCATGGATAATGGAACTTGAGGACCCAGGGTACGGTCGAATAATAGAAATTAAGGCTCCAAGGGTGCTCTCGAATAATCGAACTTGAGAACCCAAGACTACAAGTTTGGTGACGAGAGACACATACCTGACTGTTATCCCTAGTCCAGGGTAACTGGTAATGTAACGGTAACTTTCCATCCATGGTTGGAGTTTCTTCAGAAAAAAAAGTACTTGCTATTTTTGTGTTATTTATAACAAATAGCAAAGAGAGATATTGTTATTAATAACAATAACAATCAATTCGCGCTCCTATTGCAGAAGTCTCAAACCGAACCCGAACCCTGATACCGAACCCAAACCCGAACCCGAACCCTGAAACCGAACCCGAACCCGAACCCGAACCCGAACCGCTCGGTCCGAACTCCGAACTCGAGTTCGGGTTTGGTGCATGCCTAGCAGTGAGAGCTTCAATTGGATCCGAATACATCTGATTTTCTTTATTAATAGTACAAATACCTCTATTGTTAGAGAAAATTTGAACTTTTCAAAAGAATTGAAAGACGCATTATCGAACTGCATCGTATTTCGACGAATCTTTAAAACATCGCTATATTAGCTATGCTAATCGGATGCAACTCACGAATAATAAATTTTAAGAAGAATGTACTACGCGTGAATATGAATGAGAGAGAAAGCAGTTACAGAGTTTCGCTCGGCTGTACACTGCAACTGAAATTTTTCACGAGAATATACAGAATGGGTATGCTGAAAAATTTAGTTTTTAAAATGCAGGTAAACTCACCAGTAACATTAAGGGTGACAGCCATCCATTCAGTTGACGTTTTATTCTTTCCTATTACTGTATACACGCCTTCATGTTCTAGCTTTACACTAGGCACTGAGAATGTGTATCGCGTTTTTTCCACACTTGTAAACTGCACTGCTTCTCCATCTTTCGTCAGATGGACTTCCGGCGTTTCCTTACCACTTACATCCACAGTGATCTCGAATGCTTCGCCAATTTTCAAGCCGACTACATCCGATGTTGGTCTCACTTTTGCCAGTTTCACTGGCTCCAGTACTGTAAGTACACATGGAGTCGACTGTACTTCACCAACTTCATTCGTCAACACGACTTGATAGATTCCTTCACTCTGTGCCACTGTTGCCTGTTTGATCAACAGTCGATATTCATTCTTCGCTTCGTCTACTGATGTATTCTCTGGTGCAATGGATTTATCATTAAAGAACCATTGAGCAGACGGTCGTGGTGATCCTCGAACAACCACTTTCAATGTGACATCTTCTCCGCTCATAATTTCTTGTTCTTTGGGCAACTGTGTGGTGATTATTGGTGCAGCAAGAACAGCAAGTTGGACAGTTTCTTCTTGACAGCCATATGGATTCTCGAGACGACATGTAATCAAACCTGCATGTTGTTGTAGATCGATGTTCGGAATGGACAACTTGGTTTCATCAGTGGTAGCATCGAACTGCACTTGAACACCTTCTTTCGTTGTCAATGGTTTTCCATTAAGAAACCATGTTATAGTCGGTGTTGGGTATCCATCAATCTTCGTCACGAATACTGCTGTCGTATCTTGCTTCACTTTTTGTGTTGTCAGCTTGATAATAAACACTGGTGATTCTACAAGGACATATGTTATTTAAAAACAAGAAAAATCAAGGTGACGTACTCGACACAGTGACTTTGCACTTATTGGATTGAAGTGATCCACCAACATTGGAAATCTTGGCTGAATATTCACCTTGATCTCCTGGTTGTGCATTCAAGATAGCCATTGTGTATTTGTCATCGTTACCATTCGGTGTTGTCACTTGAATACGATCATTTGGTGTAAGTTCATTGTCGTCTTTCATCCAGACAATGTCAGGCTTCGGTGTTCCACTGGCGACGATTTTTAGTGCCATGATTTCACCTTTTGTGACTTCTAGTGCACTATTGAGATTAGCGTTGATGACATGTTTGATGCAATCAATCTTTAATGTTGTCTGAGCTTCAGCTGCACCAAAAGCATTGGTTGTTCTAGTAGTATAGATACCTTGATCACCAAGTTCAACTTGACGAATTGTTAGTATCGATGCTCCATCATCAGTCTCCGTTACTTGCAAGCGATTGTCAGTTGGAAGTGGTTGACCATCGAAGAACCATGTTACACGTAGCTCCCCGATGCCACTGAACTGCCATGAAATCTGAGTATCTTTACCAAACATACATGATTGCTCGTTTACCGACGTTGGAGCTTCTACTTTGGGTGGAACTAAAAAATAATTAATCGTTCGTATTGTACATGGGAGATGATGAGAATACTCGGGATGTGGGCAAATAGAAGATCCACACCCACACAGGAGTCGAACAGTGTATGACAGAATAAGATGGTGTGCCATCGAGCAGAACATGAGCGAAAGGGTGAATGAAGTCACTGTTCTGGTGGTATTTAGTTGTGGATTCAGAGAAGATCAATATTTACACCCCATACCTATGTTTATTCTATTTGTTCAGCTTAAATCAATTAAATTGAAGGTTTTAGTTTAAAGAGCATTTTGTTCCCTAAGTACGAATTTAGCAATCAATTTTTGTTCCATCACTTTCTGCAGAGGTGAACAACTATACCTTGCCAAATCTAGTACATTTCTCGTTCTCTTCATAAAGATAAGATACACCCTTTCCACTGCGTAAACGTATATACGTAATTGCTAGGTTAGAGACATTTCTCTCAAATTTGGGATATCATTGGATTAGAACATAACAATAAGAGAATAGGAAGAAATGCCCCCAAAGCATCCATTAACTTTTCCTCACATATTGATCCTTATCTAAAATTTGACTTCTTAAAGTAATACATCAAGAAGTACACAATAGAGTTCACTCCTTTTTTGCATGTTCATGGGATTATCGTCCTATAGAAGAACGTGTGAAGAGGAAATCTATCAATAACAAACAAAATTTCAGTTTTTCTCCCTTAATATGTCCTGATTGATCAATGGTTATTGATTTCTCATATAGCCATATCTTGATATCAAAAAGCAATTATTTTAGTAGAAAATAAAACTAAATCTAATTGAAAGAAAGTGAGCCTATATTGTTCACAATTTACTTATTAGGAAAAACAAGTTGTCCTATCTTGAGTAAGGTGCCATAAAGATTTAACTGATTTGAACTTTTCACCAGAGAAAATATTTCTTGCGGAAATACATACTGATCGCTAGTAAAGTTTGATCAGCAAGTATTCAGATTGAAAAATCTGAATCTCTGTGGATAATTAGGCAAATGATGCATCAGACTGCAGAGAGAATCTTTCGTCCACAAAACCTTTGATGAAGTCATCGAAGAAGTTGTCACTTTTTGGAAAATAAAGCTTACTTTTGTATTAAAATTTGATACAAAAACTTTTCTGTTACTCATGAAAATTATTTTTTTGACAGTAATTGTCTTTTATAGTGTAAGTCAAAGATTAAAAAAATCTCAAGATCATTGTCATGGGGGGGGGGGGGG